AACTTTTCTATCACAGGATAAAATATTTCTATTTCTATCCCTCCTTACAGTTTCTGTTATACCTGCTGCATGAATATTGCTGCTGCATTATGTCATGAACAGCAATTCCCATTTTATCTTTATTGTGAATTATCATTAGCCCTATAAAATATCCTTTTTATCATTTAATTATTTTTTGTTTGAATTTCACCTTGTTAGATATAAAGATGGCATCTTGCTTTATTTTACATTTATACTTTTGCTCGTTTTTTATTCCATTTCTTTCTGAATCACTTATTTTAATTGAGTCTCTCTGCTTTGCAGTACAATCAGATAACTTTGTCTTTCAATATGTGAATTAAACCCATTGACATCTATTACTTTGACAGGCATGTTCAACCTTAGTTCAATGTCATTTAATGTCATATTTTCTATTGCTAGTGCTTCTTTAAGTCTTACAATGTGAGATGTTTGGGGTTTCTGTTCATTATTTTTCAGTGTACGGTTGTTCTGATACTTAAGAATGTTTTCATTTAAATTTTCCTTTCTTTTTCCATTCCATTAGTTTCCTTCCTTGAACAATTGTAGAGTTAGCAGGCTTTCTACCTAACCTTTTATCATTCCATGATTTAGTAACTAATTTTAACTTTTTTTGGTGTTTACTTTGTATTCTTAGATCTGATAATACTTGTTTTACTTGATTTATCAAGGTTAAATTATGGATAATCCGCAAAGTTACTGTAAACCCACTATTTGTTCAGTTGTTCATTATTTTTATATAGCACTTTCTTGGATTATGCTCTGTCACTTCAATGCATATATTTGTTTAATCTCAGTCTTATCGAATTAAACATATTCAATAATCGTCACATGTGTTATTGTTATAATTTCCTCAGTCATCTCTTGGTGACTTATGTTCACTCTCAGGCAATGAAGAACTTACAAAGAACTCATGGGAAAAATATTAGTTGAACTTATGCTTGATCACTACTAGTAAACTTTATAGTTTGATTTACCCAAACATCACATTCATGTGCCATATTTTTCCTTTGAGTTTTATGTAAGTATTTCTTCATTAGTCTCTGCCATTGGATGGCTGCATTTTATAAATTTAAAACCCGTCTGATATTTCTTTATTCGAGTTAACCTTTATTGACTGGAACCCCAATTTTTTCTCTGTCCATAAAACCCAATAATTTTAATAAACAATAACCAAAATGACCACTCCAAGTTAATTCCCCTAACTCACTTAAATATCATACTTTTCAATATGTAGATTCAAATCATTTTAATGTAATCAAAGTTGTTTAGTTATAACATTTTTTAAAGTTCTTCCTTTATGCTTTTCTTCTTTAATGACTCTTTTTGGTTATGACAGAACTTCTGGCCAGGAACAGTGGCTCTTATCTGTAATCCCAGCACTTTGGGAGGCTGAAGCAGGGAGATTGCTTGAGACTAGGTGTTCAAGACCAGCTGGTCAACATAATGAAAACCCTTTTCTACCAAAAGAAGTTGGCCATTCACGGTAGCAAGCATTTCTCTCCCAAGATACTCAGGAGGCGAGGTAGAAATATTGCTTGAGCCTAAGGGGTTTGAGGCTGCTATGAGCTGTGATTACACCACTGCACTCCAGCCTGGGTGACAGAGTAAGAGATCCTGCCTGGAAGAAAGGAAGGAAGAGTACAGAGTAGGAGAGAGGGAGAGAAGATAACTTTTTTGTCTTGTGTACTATTTTATCATTCTCTTTCAAAACTAGTTTAAATCTATACTTCTGTTTATTTTTTTCTGTGTCCTACCTTCCGAGCAATTTTTCCCCAAAATCCTTCTTTTAAAAAGAAAGTGTTTTACTTTTCTTCTTTAGCTGTTTCCTGATTTCTGGAAGCTCATTTTCATCTGTCATATTGTCAAGCTGTATTTTTTACTTGACATTTTTCCATCATATGGGGCATTATTTCCTTACTTTTCTATTGTTTTCTTCATGTATCCATTCTTATGCTACATTTTCTAGCAACCTTCAGGAAACCTTTTCCTGCAGTGTGTTCTTCATATTTGGGTAGACTTTGCTATTCTTCTCACATTTTTCATGGAGAATCTTTGTGTCAGTGCTATACTCAGTTTCTTCTTCACTGCTCATCACTGAATGAGTTTAACTCTCCTGGATTAGCAACTTGGTGAAAGTACCTACAGAAGGTTAGGAAAAGGCACAGAGTAACCTTTTAGGTTTCTTCTTTGCTGACTACTTCCAAATATTAGTGCACCTTTTGGCTCTTTACGGATGTGCCTTCTCTTTTTTTCTGCCCAAGACATAATACAACAGCCATGCTGAAAATAGCCCTAATCACCCATGTGGTATTCTATAGCCACAGTTGTATCAAGGGTGTAGCTTTTGAAATACAAATTAAGCACCTTGCCTTTATTTTAGAAAGTATGTTTTTACTGGGACTTCCCTAGATAATCTATCACTTAAGCCTTTTTCACTCTGCCCTGATTCTTTTCTCTACTTCCTCCTAAGCACCTTCTCCTCAGTTCCACCATTACAGGCAGAAGAACCAGCAAAGAAAAAAGGAAAGAGATATTAGGTATTAATAATGAATTATTTGAAATCAGAGAATATCAGAAGTAAGCATTGACAGGCATACTTGGACTGACATACTATGAATTTTAACCTTTAAGTTAATGGGAGCCATAAGATACTTTTAACTACTGGATTTAAAAATTTTATCATTTAACATAATCTGACTCTGCTGATTAATTCCATATAAGATATGCAAAATATAGAAAATAAAATATCTTTGGAATAAAAATAAAACTGAACTAATGAATAGGAGTTAAAATTACAGTTAAAATTTCTGTCTGATGTAGAAACAATACATGATCCATAGAAAATTCTGGAAAAACTAGATATTAATAAAGTAGAAATATTAAAATGTATAACATTTGGGGCATAAATATAAATGCATATATTTTATTGTTTTAAAATTGGAATCAATCTCTAAATATTGTGATCTCAATTTTATCATTTTTGTATACATAGTCTTTTAAGTGGGATTTTAAATTTTTTATAATAAGATTTTGAAATAGAATTTTATAATATACTGTATAGTATCCCATCATATGCAAGAAGTGTAATTCATTGTATCGATTCTCTCTTACAAAATATTTAGGTGTCTCTGACACTGTAAATTGTAACGTGTAAATTGTTCTAGCACACACGTTAGTGTACTTTAAATGGTGTCATCTCAGTAGTCTTTTAGATAAATTGAAAGGAATAAAATTTCTGGGACAGAAAACTATGTATGTTGTCTATATATTTTCTCAAATCGTTCTCCAGAAAGGTTTTATTACTTTTTATTCTCACCTTTAGACAATTGGCTAATTTCCTTTTATTTGAATCATTGGAAAATAAACATCCAACTTGGTATATAAAATATGATCTCCTCCTCATGTTCTTTCATAGTTACAATTATTAGTGAGTTTGAGGTGTTTTTGAATTCATGGGGCATGTGCATTTCTCCTTTTATAAATTGCCTGTCCATGCTCTATGACCTTGAAGTTCTTTTTTTTTTTTTTTAATGAAAAAACTCTTTTATATGTGGCAAGTGTAACTCCTCTTCTCCGTCTTTGGTTTGCCTTGTGATTTTTTTTTTTCTTTTGAGTCAGGGTCTCACTCTGTTGCCCAGACTAGAGTGTAATGGCATGGATCACGGTTTACTACAGCCTTGACCTCCTGGTGTCAGGTGATCCTTCTGCCTCAGACTCCTGAGAAGCAGGGACTACGTGTGTGCATGATCACACCTGGCTAATTTTTTTATTTTTCACAGAGATGTGGTCTGGCTATGTTTCCTAGGCTGGTCTCGAACTCCTGGACTCAAGTGATCCTGGTGCCTTGGTCTCTCAAAGTGCTGGGATTATAGGTGCAAGCCACTGCACCCAGTCTGCCTTGTAATTTTGTCTGTCATTTTAACACAGAATTTTTAATGCTTATGAATCTGTTGGTATGTTCCTTCATATTTTCTTCTTTTGTTTTTATATTTAGAAATAAATTTGTCTTTTAAAAATTATATAAAAATCTGAAATGCATTTTCTTCCTTTTTACACTTTTTGAAATGTCACAATTATCACTTATTAAATTGTTACATGATCTGAGGACTGTTTTATATTTTCTATTGTGTCATTTTTCTCACCGATGGTACTTTACCATACTATGCTCAGTCACGTTCTGCAATTTGTAATATGCCATATAATGTTGTATAGTTTGCAAGAAATTATTACAAAATAATACAGCACGCTCTTCTGTATGTTTTACAATTTATTGTTTTCACCAATATTTCCCTAGATAAACTTAAAAACATTTTGCCATGTTCCATAAAAGAGTGCTGGAATTTTTATTTTGATGTCACTAATATATTATTTAGGAAGAATGTGTTATCAGGAACACTGGATTTCTCTTTCTACACATTTTAATATTTTTCTTTAAACTGCCGTTTAGTTTTTTCATTGAATATGCACATATGTAAATTTTTCCTAGATATTTGTATTTTATGTCTGGCTAACTCACAATCTTATAACAATATGAAAACAACAGATTTATTTAGAAAGTTATTTAAAATTTTCAACACTTATATAAATGTTTCTTGGTACCATTTCTCTTCAGGGATTTTATTGTAAAAACTATCATTGTATTACTTACACTTTTGAGACTTCAGCTCTATTTTAAAATTTTTTAAAAACCCTAACCTTTTTGTTTATTTTGTCTTATTTAAATAAGAAAAAAGGTCATTAACTCTTAAGATGATTTTACCACCAAAAATAAGATAACTGATAACATGAATAAATTAATTTCATCCTCATTCTTGACATTATAAATATTAATTGCGTTATGAGACCACATAGCACTTAACTGCCTAAGCATTTGTTAACTTATAACACAAATGGTTTTAATATGCAGGTCCTAAATTCCTAAATTAATAGTGTTTTTTAAACATATATCAAAATAACTAATATTGTTCATTATATTTTAGGTTAGTGGGATGGTTTGGCCATGAAGTGAGCACCAGATTTAAAATGGATAACAGTAAGTGTACTCAATTTTACCTCATAAGTCATTTTATTTTAACTTTATTTCAACTTTCATCTGTCTTTGTATTATATGTAATGTGCATGCCCCATGGAGAGTGCACTTTGAAAATGTCACTGAGAATTCTTAAAATAAGAAATGACATTTCCAGAGTGTAAGACTAAGTGTTTATAGATTTTAGCATGATTTTTGAGTCTATCCCTTTGTAGGGACATAAAAGGAAATGAAGTCTAAGGTGAGGCTCATGTGTCTCGGTCAGATCCCATCAATATAGAGTGCCCTAGACATCGAGCAGTGAGAATACAAGGAGATTCGGGACTTGAGGCCAGATCCAGGCAAACCTGAGTGTCAGTCCCACTTTGCTGTTTAGTCATTCTTAGATCCTGCTCAAGTTATATCATCTTGGGTCATGATCTTTTTTTTTTTTCTTTTCCACATATCCGATGTGAATAATAATATGTATTTTCAAATGTTGTTTAAGGGTGATTCGAGCCCAAGATTGTAAACCAAGTAACAAATAGCAGTATCTTAATAAATATTCCTTTTCAATCTTCTTTTCTCCTAAATAATCTTCTTTTGTTTTTGTCACATATCAAAGAGTGTAGTAATTCTTAAGAGCAGGTAAAGTCCAGTGGGTAGAAATGAAACTATGCCAAGCATGGGGCTAACAAATTACCTTACTTCTTTTTCCTGAGTGACCCTATTTTTCAGTCAAATAAGATACAGAAAACATCATTAGTGCTTTGAGATTTCCACATACACTTGATCCTTCAATTGTTTCAAACCTCTGAGATACTGTTTTATATATACAGATGCCCCTTGACTTATTCAGGAGTTACTTCCCAATAAGCTTATCATAAGCAGAAAATATCATAAGTCCAAAATGCACCTAATCTAAGGAACATCATAGCTTAGCCCAGCCTACCTTAAATGTGCTCAGAACATTTACTTTAGCCGACATTGGACAAAATCATCTAACACAAGCCTTTTTTTTTTTTTGAGTCGGGTTCTCATTCTGTCACCCACACTGGAGTGTACTGGCATGCTCATGGCCACCGTAGTCTCGACCTGTTGGGCTCAGGCAATCCTTCCATCTCAGCCTTCCAAGTAGCAGGAACTACAAGCATGCACCACCACACCCAGCTAATTTTTTTTATTTATTGTAGAGACAAGGTCTCACCAAGTTGCCCAGGCTGGTCTCAAACCCCTGGGCTCAGACAATCCTCTTGCCTCAGCCTCCCAAAGTTCTGGCATTAGGGGCTTGTGTCACCGCACCCGGCAACAGAAGCTTATTTTATAATAAAATGTTGACTATCTCATGTAGTTTATCGAATGCCAGATTGAAAGTGAAAAACAGAATGGGTGTACGGGCACTCAGAATATGGTTTCCACTGAGTGCATATCACTTTTGTATCACTGTGAAGTTAAAACATTGTAAATCAAGTCATTGTAAGTTGGGAGCGTCTGTATTCACATTTGCAACACATTGCAAGATGGGATATTTTAGCCAAATCAGGAATCCTGTATTTTATCTTGGCTGTTGAAATATTTAGCTCTGTTATTATACCAGTTACTTAAATTCTTTGAAATGGGTATTCTTATCTGTAAATAAAATAACTGGATTAGATTGGGGGTAGGTAAACTTTTTAAAAATAAAGAACCAGATAAAAAACTATTTTTAAGTTTTTGGGCTACACCATCTCTGTGGCAAATGCTCAATTCTGTCATTGTGGTGGTCAGTCACAGATGACACATAAATAAAAGATTATGGCTACCTTCCAATAAAACTGTACTTAAAAAAACAAGTAGTGGGTCAGATTTGGTGCTCATATTGTCTAACCCTGGATTCATTGACTATCTAAAGAGCCATCATGTTTTAACATTCTTTTATTCAGTCATAGTTTTAACTTGACCTCTGATTAAGCATCTTAACCCTAATGAATTTAACTTGCTAGAATTCAGTGTACTTGAGTCTAATTAGAATAGTATCTGCTATTAATTTATCTTAGGCAGATTTATTTCTAAAGCTCCCTCCTCTCTTTTTTATTTTTTTCCCGCAAGACAAGCCACTTCACCTAATAATCTTAAGACTGAAAGTCACCTCCATTTCACTCATATGTCTGCCTTTGGGTGACATTACAATTACATGCCACTCAAATCTTAATGCTCTCTCTTGTTGACATGGTTTCATAATAGAAAAGCAATGTGTGGGGCAGGACAAGAAATGCTGGCATGGGAATGGGAAGGTAGAGCATGGGGTCCAGAAAACTTCCAGAAGTCGTTTATGTTTTGTATCAAAGGGTTCTGGTGTTCTACCAACAGGGGAGATGGAAATTTCTGGTGAAGGGAAAACAAGCCAGTATTTTAGCTCCATTGAGTTTCTCTTAAGTAGTTCAGAAATCCTATCTAGCAATAAAAGTCTGTCTTATTCATTTGCTCTCCACCACATTACTATTTTAACGGATACTTTTTAAGGCATATTTTATGAAAATGACATGATATTAATTTCTCAGAGCTGCAGTTAATCTCTGGAGTGAATGGATTCCGAATCTCAAATCCTCCCATGTTGCTGGTCTGTTCCTTACACGCTAGTTTAGAGGTAAGAGATCTATGTTTCTACCTCCCATGCCCCTCCCTTCTTTCTTGACCCAACAGTAACTTGCTGTAGTGCTTTCTCTGCTCATCAGCAAGATTACGAATGTGCACTCTGTGTAAAAAATGGACGGAGAAAACATTCTCCTCTAGGACGGTGACCATGTGATGATTATCTCCTTCTATTAATGTCCCCACTCCCTAGCACAATGTTAGGCACATTGTTGATACATAGTAAATATCAAATGGAATTCATCTGGAATTTTTGTTGTTGTTGTTGTTGTTGTTTCTCTTAGAATCGATGTAAACATGAATGAATTATTTCATCTTCTCTTGGTTATACTAAATAAGCATGTCATATTTAGTTATTTATTAAATTACTCATTCAACATGAATTTATTGAGAAAATAGGATGTGCCAGACAAGATTACTAGGAACTCTATTCCTTCTAGCTCATTGTAAACCAATGAACTGTCCAAATACCATGTGACAAAGCTATAGGAGGTCTTACTTTAAGGGGAAAAAACTGAAACTAATCAGGATAAACCAAAGATTGTGTAAGATTTCCTCATGAAGCAGGGTGTTTGTTTTTTTTTTTTTAAATGGGACTTCTATGCCATTATATCCATATATTTTCTACTGTTACTGACTCAATATTTTTGTTTAAATTCATTAATATTTTTACTTAGACAAATTTAGTTTCATCCCCAAGTTATAAATGAAACTAATTTTTTAGATGTTATTATTTGAGGTTAAACTAAATATATTCAAGTAAATATAGAGTCTGTAATTATATACTAGGTGATGCACACTTGTAGTCCTGGCTACTTGGGAGGCTGAGGTGGCTACTTGGGAGCCTGATCCTAGGTGGTCCACGCTGTGAACTGTGATCACTGCACTGCACTCTAGCCTGGGCAACAGAGTGAGACCTCAATTCAAATAACAATAATAATAATATATATAATTATTATTAACTTTAATACATACATTCAGTAAATACATATTGTGTATACATATATTTAAGTAAAATATCTTTTAAGTAAATATATGTATATATTTCTAATAGAGATTTTATATATGTATTCAAATAAGAATTTGAATTTTTTTCTTTCATGCCTACTTCTAAAATCACCTAGCTTATGAAATTTTAGAAAATCTTGTTATAGAGGATTTCAGCATCATTGTAGAATTCTGTGAACACTTAACAGCAGTTTCTCATTCTGGCCACTGGATGGCAGCATCAAGTTCCTCTGCTTTTATAAAACTTCACCACTGGATAGTGTTATTCACTACCTTTTCATTTTAATCCCAATTTAAAGAACATCTACTAAGTTTGATCACTAGATGGCACTTGTGCTGTTTTCACTTGGCAGAGTTTTTTTTTTAACTTGAAAAATAGACCCAGTAATGAGATTTTTCAGGCAGTGATATATTTTTTGACTAAAAATCTGCTTAGTAAATCAGGTAATAATATTTGAGTTGTTTTTTTTATAATATACATTCAGAGAAGAATTTTGTTTAAACATTTTTTTAAAATATTCTACTTTGCAACTTTATATCAGGGAGATATGTTACAATATAAGCACCAAGACACACCTTAGAAATAACTAGTTCATAAAGTAATTTTCTCTAATTTACTTTATCATTGCAAATAACTTCTCAGACATATCCAGAACTTTTCTTTTAAACACTTATTTTTGCATGTTGTCTGCAGTGGGCTGGCTTTTCTTCCAGTATTCACCCTTTCACTGTGGAAAAGGAGACAGATTCTTATTTTCCTATCATACTGCATTAGAGTCCTCTAGGCAAGGTTTTTATTCTCAGTTACAGTTGGAAAAGTGATTTTCTTTTTAAAAAGTAACTTAATCCCAGCAAAAAGATGTGAAAAGCCACAAGAAGAAATATATACAGTTCTCTGGAGCTTCATATCACCTATGTATTTCTTTAGAGCCTCTTACTGAAGTCATTCACTGCTGAGGCCCTGTGCGAACCATAGTTATCTTTAATCAACTCTTATGTCGGTGAAACTGTTTTTCAAAATTCCTCCTTCCCATTATAAATCGCAAAATTTTTAAATTACAAAATAATGCATTTAATGGCTTCTCATGCCGTATCTAACTGTTAAAATATCCTACTTCCTAGATATTTCTGAGCTTGCCGTGAAAGCACCCGTGAATTAATCAAGTTTGTACTTATCTTACCCCTTCAAGACAATTTATTGCATTGTGTGAGATACATGTTGGAAGTCTGAATAAATGAAAGAAATAAGTACATCATCTAAACTGGCTCTCTTCGTTTTAGTAAAACATTCTGCATTGGCAAATACCAACTGGAGGAGAGATTCTATATTAAGACTCAATTTTATATAAATAAGGCCTTGGATTTTCAATATAAGAATTGTTTTATAATATATTTATGTGACTTTTTTTATAATTACATGTGTATATGTTTGCTGGATGTTCAAAGAGCACCTTATAATCAGTTTCAAACTGGAACTCAATCCTTTGTACAATACTTTTTAAAATATTGTGGATCAAGGGGAAGGAGCATGAGGTTGGGAACCAGAAGGCAAAGAGTCCCCTCTTAAGTGGACACTAAATGTGACTTCACGCAAGCAGTAACTGCTTTTGAGCTTATTTTCCTCCTTTTTTAAATAAAAATATTTGGACTTGATTACATCAGATGTCTTCTCAATTTTCCAATTGCTTAATTAAAACTAAACACATACATTGTATTTTGAAAGTTTATGTGTATATTTAGGAATAGGTAGACAATTTTAGGCTTTTTCAGTACTATGACTTCACAATGAAATAAGTAGCTGGAAATACAAAATACAAAAATACAAAATACAAAAATAGAGCATTCTGCTAAAATACATTACAAGTCAGAAGACTCAAAACAGAAACTTGTGCTAAGGGTTTCCTTTCAAAGTTATTAGGGAGAATTTTAGAGAAAAGAACTTAAAGAGAAAAATATGAGAATTGAAAACATCATTCTATGCTTATTTTTCCTATTTAAACTTATCTGACTTTTCTAGCTTTGCATTCATTTTACTCAGTAAGAAAAATATAATCCAAGAAGTTGAAATTCTGCCAAGGATTCTCTTATAAGATGAATATTTTTCAAATTATATTTCCTAATTTTTTAATTTAAGAAATCATTCTTTCCCAAAAGTAAAAGCATAAAATTATGAAAAGTGAAAAAATGGGATATCCATTTTACTTTTCTACTATTAATCCCTCTTAATATTTATATTTATTTATTTGAGACAGAGTCTCTATCATACTGGCAGAAATGCAGTGGTGTGATCATAGCTAACTGCAACCTGAACTCCTGGGCTCAATCACTCCTCCTCTCTCAGTTCCCTAAGTAGCTGGGACCACAAGTGTATGAAACAACACTTGGCCATTTTTATTTTTTTATTTTTTGTAGTGACAAGGTCTCACTATGTTGCCAAAGCTGGTCTCAAACTTCAGGCCTCAAGCCATCCTCCCGCCTCAGCCTCCCAAAATGCTGGTATTACAGGAATGATCCACTGATCCAGGTCCCTCTTAATATTTTCACGTGAGGCTCAGAATAGACTTTTACTTTCTGTTAGAGAAATTTAAGTGTCTCAGAATATAATTGCCTTTATTGTGGTGGTAACGTGATAAATTTTTTTACATTGAAGTTATTTTCGTATTAAAGAGTAATAATATTCCACAGTATATTAAAAGGGAAACTATTTGTCATGCAAAAAATTTGATTTCTCGTTATCAAAAGAAATCTGAAAGAGCTAGCCTCCCACCCCCTTTATTAAACAATTATAAACCTAAGTAATATTCCCCAAAGTCTTACTAACTTCTGAATACAAATTAGCTATTATTAAAAGTAATACTTAACACATTGCCAATACCTGCATATCATGGCATGAATAGCAGAGCCATCAAATTTAATAGAATTATTTATGAATTAGAAGTTCCTAGAATATTATTAATCTCCAGCGAGATTCCTGGAAATATTCCTCTCAGTTTTGTGTTCCAAACATCACAGCCAAACCACCTATGGTCGGTGCCTTGTCTGTCCCCGCTCTTCTGTGAAAATATTGATCCTTGATCTTTGATCCACAACTTGGCTGTAATCCCTTGCGTTCTCATTGTGCCAAGTCTGCCTACATTTTGTTTTTTTACACAAGGGAATAAAGGGCTGCCCTCTACCAAAGTCCTTGTAACCTGGGTCACCTGAATCCTGAAGCAGTATTGTTTGTACCTGCAGCTCAGAGGCTTATGAAACCGAGATATTAGCTTCTGCTTGCAACTAGTATCTTTGGTGGCTTCAGACATAGTCCGTGGGATCTGGCTGAAGAAAAAGACAAGGACCACTGCTTCTCCTCTCCTCCTTAGATGTCATTCCCTTCAATGTAGCTCCCCTCCTCTCTTTCAGTCAAATTCATATTCTCCATGCAATATACTTGCAGAAATCTGTGCCTGAGTGGTTGGAGTTTTATTAGCATACCTGCCTACACATGAATATACAGGAATAACTATCTTCATAGATTTGATAAAAGCTAGATATCACCAAATGACCCCATCTTTGCTCTTGCTACAGAAAAGGGACATTGAATGGCACACCAGTGCATCAGGCTCTGTTTGCATTTCATTCTGTTCTTCTAATTATTATACATATGCATATATGTATAATACTTAGAAGAACAGAACAGTATACACACACACACACACACACACACACACACACACACACACACACACACACACACACACATTTTGGAGTCGAGGTCTCACTCTGTCACCCAGTCTGGAGTGCCATGGCATGCTCACAGCCACCTCACTGCCACTCCAGTGTCGACTCGCTGGACTCCGGTGATCTGTCTGCCTCAGCCTTCCAAGTAGCCAGAACCACGGGTGTGCACTACCACACCCGGCTAATATTTCATTTCATTTCATTTTATTAATTTAATTTTATTTTGATGTAGAGACGAGGTCTTGCCAATTTGCCCAGGCTGGTCTCGAACACACAGACTCAGGCAATCCACTCGTTTCAGCCTCCCAAAGTTCTGGGATTGCAGGCTGAACCACCAAGCCCAGCCGTCATCGTATATTTTTAAGCTCTACTTGACTTAAGAGATAGGCCAGAACATCATGTCTGTTCTGACCCCTATTGTTCCAGCTCAAGTTATCGTGCGCCTTTGGTCACTCTTGTTACTTTAAGCCTCCTCAGGCAGAAAATGGCAGTATTTTCACAGCAGTGCTAGAGTTTAGAAGGAGAAAAAATGATTAAAGAAAGAAAGGAAGCCCAAATGCTTCAGTAATAATAAATATATTTTCTAACATTATTTGATTCCCTGTCTGAAAACGTCACCTTACTTAACTGCTTGCTTTTTTACTGTTAAACTGGGGTGAACTTAGGAGTCAGTAAAACAATTAAAAATACTATCAGTAACACTGTTTTCCACATATGTAAGTTTTAACTCATATGGGATTTTTTGTAGGCCAAACTTAGTATCAGAATAGAAAAAAGTTTTCTTGACTATGATTTTATAACATGATTTTAAGAGAAAAAGTGTAAATTATATAATATTTAAATACATTTATTAAGGTGTGTTTTACTTGATTAATTTAATTTAAATTAACTCTGAAGATAATGATACTAATTAAAGTTTTTTTCTTTTGCGAGTATTACTTAAGTGACATTTGTATAATTTTTCTGTCATAGAAATTTTACCTTCAGTTTTCAATGGAAAATCATTTATAAGAGGGTGTGTTTTCATCCAAAGGGATTATGTAAAAGGATATATTTATTGGAAAGGTCAAAAGTGGGCATTTCCTTTTTAATGCATGATTTGCACTTAGCTTTTGCTTCTTTGTAAATCAATAAGATACTTGAACTTGATTGTTTCTTCTTCTGCAGATCTTTAGGCAGGCAACCATGAGAGTATTGAGGAAAAAATCTATTTTGCTAACTGGTTATCTGGAATACTTGATCAAGCATTACTATGACAAAAATAAAGCAGAAACCAAGAAACCTATCGTGAACATAATTACTCCATCCTGCATAGTGGAGAGGGGCTGCCAGCTAACACTAACATTTTCTGTTTCAAGGAAAAATGTTTTCCAAGAACTAGAAAAAAGAGGAGTGGTTGTAAGTATGACTCTTGCTTTGCTACCAGATTTTCGCTACATGCTGTGTGTTGAGGATACCATTTGGATTCTTTGGTTTATTCATCGTTGCATGTTATTTCACTTCATTCAGCCAGTTGAGGATACACGAAGTGCCAACTAAGCATTCAGCACTCTGCTAACTGAAGGGCACACACCTGTGTTTTCTGATAAAAGGGAAGAAACCACAAATTCTGTTTATGGGAAATAGTTGTATGTAACCTACTCTTTTCATAATAATTTGGGCAGAAAAAATATTTCATCATAATTGATCAGGATCACTAGTCAAACTCTAATATATATTTTTTGAATAAATGGAATTAAAGAACATATCGATTTAGTGAAAGATAAAAAAGAAATCAGACATATTCAGTGACTTGATAGAACTAAATTATTTTCAACCTTGTTACTTCAGTCAGAAAAGATATATCAACACTTCTCTGGAGTGTTAACATTGTAAATAATATATATATATAATATGTAATACATATATATAAACTCTTGAGTCTATGTGGCCCTCTTAGTCTCTTAAAAAGAACTAATAAATGTTAACTGAGTAATTTCAAGGAAAAAAAGATGATAATGCATCTGTTTTCAATAATTGTATCAGTTAGGCCCCCTACTCTTGTGTACCTCCAAACCTGGAGAAGATTCTGGAGGCACAAATCAAGATTTCATATAAAACTCTGCCATGTCCAAGCTCTGTCCTTTTAGAAAAGTTTATTTAGACCTATTGGCTTAAGGTTTTTTGATCTGTATTTTGGGTGTTAAATTACTTATCTCAAAGAGTTGCTATGGGAATTAAATGAAGCAGCACATACAAATGATATACTATATTGTCTAGCCAATAGTGTGTGTGTGGGTTGCTCTTCTTCTTTTTTCTTTTTTTAACGTGTTTATAGAAACAGTGTCTTGCTTTGTTGCCCAGTCTGGTCTTGAACTCCTGGGCTCAAGCAATCCTTCTGCCTCAGCCTCCTGAAGTGCTGGAATTACAGGTGTGAGTTTACCACATCCAGTCAGCATGTTTCTTTTTCTTTTTCTTTTTCTTTTTTTTTTGAGTTGGAGTCTCACTCTGTCAGCCAGGCTGGAGTACAGTGGCAAACTCAAGGCCACCCCAGCATTGACCTGTAGGGCTCCAGTGATCCTTCCGCCTCAGCCTTCCAAGTAGCTGAAACTACAGGCACGCACTACCACACCCGGCTAATATTTTGATTTATTGTAGAGATGGGGTCTCACCAAGTTGCCCAGGTGGGGCTCGAACCCATGGGCTCAGGTAATCCACTCACCTCAGCCTCCCAAAGCACAGGATTACAGGCTGAGCCACCAAGCCCAGTTCAGCATGTTGCTTAAAGTGAGCCACAGTCATCTGCAGGCCGGGTCAAATTACCTGGTGCTATGTCAGGACATGTTGGCATTCCCAGGTGATCTAACCCACTCTTTACCTGCAAGATCAAAGACTAGAGAATTAAATTCAAGTATAATTTGCTAAAACTCTCCAGATCCGAATGAGGTTCTCATTCATTTAAATTTGCCCAAGGGTTTCAGTCCCTCCAGGATTTCCCCACAGAAAAATTGTGTATATGAATTATTGGATGCTTAAAGAAGATAATTGCTAAATGCACTTCAAGAAAGCACTTCAGATATTCACATATCTAACCTATTATTTTAAAAATATTAAGAAAAAAGTTTTAAATAACATAAAAATACTGTTTTACTTAAAGTGAAAAAATTGCTTATATATTAATTTTAGGGAAATCAGCATGAATATTTTACATAAGTTTATCTTGATTGTAGAATTTCAATATGTGAATAATGCTAACTTCATTTTTGGCTTTATTTTTTTCCCACAGTGTGATAAGCGGGAACCAAATGGTATTCGAGTGGCTCCAGTTCCGCTCTACAATTCTTTCCATGATGTTTATAAATTTTTCACTCTACTCACTTCTGTACTTGACTCTGCAGAAACAAGAAATTAGCAATGTTTTCTAGGACAGCATAAGAAAATTATTCTGAAAACTGTTGTGGTTATTTTACTATTATTCAATGTCTGTTGAAAGTATTTCAAAATTGATTGCTTGTAACTGGCAATAAATAATATACTTGGTAAAAATCTCTGATATAATTTTTCAAAGAGTCTGTGATACTAAGAAGTCTACACAACAGTCCAGTCTCCTGGTGCTTGGAAGATCAAAGACTATATTGGTCCAAGTATCATGTACACACTCTCAATAATAAGTTGTCACATTTTATGATCATTGTTGTTTCGTGTTGGTTAATTTATAACTGGCTGAATGGTCACTGATGTTTTGTGTTGGTTTAATTTATAACTGATTGAAAAATTTGTGTAAGCCGGGCTCGGTGGCTAGGCCTGTAATCCCGTGCCTTTGGGAGGCTGAGGTGAGTGGATTGCCTGAGCTCACGGGTTTGAGACCCACCTGGGCAGTGAGACCTCATCTCTACAATAAATCAAAAAAATCAGCCCGGCGTGGTAGCGCATGCCTGTAATTGCGGCTACTTGGAAGGCTGAGGTGGAAGGATCACCGGAGCCCAGCAGGTCGAGGCTGCGGTGGCCGGGGAGTGGCCACTGCACTCCAGTCTGGGCGACAGAGTGAGACTCCAACTCAAAAAAAGAAAAAGAAAAATTTGTGTAGAATTCTTGTGTCAACTTTGAAAATTATAAATTGTAATTTACCACGCACTATTAGATATATGTCTGATTTTACATCTAGCTCCAATCTAAGAAAAAATAAAAAACATTATCTCGGGCAAATATTTTTTACCACAATCCATTATTACTGCTGATCTCTAGTATTAATCTAGATACTGATGGTCTCTCATATCAGAGACCAGTATCTGTGTGCTGTGGCAAGTTACATTGATTCTAAGACATTTTTGTCATATTGTAACATCTTTGAAAGAGGATACATCTTTTAATGTTTCAATCAGTTGGTTCTTACAATCACCATTGGCCATCTTTCACATTACTGGCTCTGAAATTAACATGATTTTCACAATAAATAGGTATCATTTTATATTTGACAAAATCGTACATATAGCAAAAATAAAAGTTTTATGACTTTTTTTGCCTGTGCTCTGATATGCATTATTCTACTGTATCTCATTACAAAAAAAAGTTGGTTGAAACTCATTAAATTGATTTCCTCACTCACTCTTGGGTACTATTCCACACTTTCAAGAATCATCCTTTATTTAATATTATCATTTTATCTTATTTTTTAAATGAAACTGCCCCTGAGATAAGAGCTTAGATATTACTCTGCCTTCAATATAGTGAATAAGTCATCCCGAGATACTTTTGAGGATCAGGATTAGGATATGAAATGCTTCATCTCTCAACCTTTTTATTTCAAGTCTATGGAATTTTCTTATCCACTATGAAAACTAAAGTTGTACTCAACCCTATTGAACTTTTATACTTTTCAGTTGTTGATACCACAATCAGTACTTATTAATTGGCAAAATAGCTTATATTGTATACATCACCGGCAAGAAAGAGTGACTATGATGTAATTATTTGATACTGATTAAACAAATTTGAATGAAATAAAAACTACTTTGAATGATTGAGCGAAATAATAAGATGTGGAACTCTAACATTAACACCTACAGACACCAGCAACTACTGATATTTATCTTGTGTTTATCATCTACCATGTATTGTGCTATATTGCTCGAATGTTATCTTGCTTAATTGAATAGTTACATAATTGTTTTAGCAAAGCTTCCCACCAAAACTCATCTTCATAGTTGGAAGGGTTCTCAAAGCCTTAAAACTCAACCATACATGACTTCATATGTATGTAGTCATACATTTGTATGCATACATTCTGCTGCTTTTTTGCATACTTTTTTGTTTTTTGAGATTCATACATTTGTGGCAGGTAGCTTTTAATTCATTTCATTGCTGCATAGTAGTCTATTACAAATTCTTCATACACTTCAGAGAAAAGTTATGTCACCTTTAAGTTTTAATATGCCTAAATATAATTTTGTAAATGATATGAGATAGTGATTATATTTCATTTTTTCCCACATAAATAATTTATATTTTCTGTAATTCATTTGCTCTTATGTGTCACCTTTCTGTATATCCATGTGGGTTTCTTTCTGTACTGTCTCATTGTCTAATTTGCTTACTTTTTTAATCAACACAAAACTGCCTTAATTACTATAACATAATGTTAGATTAAATCTCTCAGCTTCTTTTTATTAGAATTGTTTTTGTTATTCCAGGCTCTTTTATTTTTTATATTTTTAGAATTCATCAAAATAAATTTAGAATAAATCTATTACATTCCAAAAAAAAGCCTGCTGGGATTTCACTTGAGTTGCAATTACATTTTAGATCAGTTTTGGAAAATATGACTTATTTCAATGTTGAGACTTCCTACCCAGGATCATAGTATTTATTTCCATTTATGTATTACTTTGATGTTTTTCGAAAAGTATTATTTTCTCCATTATGGAACTGCACATTTATAGTTTGGCATACTCCTAGGTACTTTACAATTTTTCTGTTATTCTACATGTTATCTTTTATAAAATTTAATGTTTAACTGATAATTGGCACTGTATAGACATGCATTTGTGGGATACACATTGATTTTGACTTTTTGTATTACAAAATCTTTCTCTTTCATTGTAATGATTTAGCTACAAAGGTTTTTTATGTGGGAAATCATTATCTGCAAATAAGCACAATTTTCATTTTCTTTTTAATTCTTAATGACTTTATTTCTTTTCCTCTGTCTTTCTTCTTTTGGATTGAAGAATGTGTGTGGGTGTGTTCAATCTGTTTTTTTCCTTCCATTTGTATAGAAGTTTTACATTTAGACTCTGTTATTTTAATAATCATCCTGGCTATTTTAACATGCATATATGACAAAATTTAAAATTAGCTTTTTAAAAAAGCCCTCCTTCTGACCAGTTGAAAAAATGTGAATGCTTTAGCATCAAACATCTACCTTTCTACTTATACACTATTATTATTAGTACAGAATTCTTGGTCTAGCTTCCCCCATCTCTCACACTCAAACACAGTCCCATTTTTGCCCACTCTTTCTCCTCATAACTCAGAATCTTAATTAAGGATGAAGTACAATTAGGGTTTATTTTAATGAGGATCTATTATATCCTCATTAAATATTCTATTGGGAATTTGGGGGGAAAACACTTTGTGATTTTGTGAAAAAAATGGTTTCACTTGTTGTAGAATTCTATATTGACAGTTCTTTTACCTCAGGAAAAAGAAAATATTAAGTCACTGTCTTGGTTGCCTTTAATGCTGTTAAGCATTCAGCTACTTCTTTCTCCTTTGCTCATAAGAGCTTTTCATCTTTAATGGTCTGCAGTTTTATTATGTTATGTGTAGATTATTATTATTATATTTATTTTTTATTTGCTCTACCTCCAAGAGCTAAGAATTTTTTTTTAAGTTCTGGAAAATTCGAAGGCATCATTTATGAAGGTATCATTTCCTCAAATATTATCACTTCTCCATTGTTTCCTTTTGAAACTTTAATAAAGTGCATGCTGGACTTTTTTACTCTTTCATTTATGTCTTTAGCATCACATTTTCCATTTTTTGCACTTCTGGATTATATGCTTGACTTTAAAATTTTAAATTTAAAACATTATCCGTTTTCAAGAAGTTTGATTAGATTTTTTTAAAAAGTGGTTTGAACATACTTGCTGTTAAACCTGGTGCACATCCTGGTCCTCCTCTAGTCTCCCCTCGCCAGCTGCAGTGTGTGGTGGTTACCAACAACTTATAGCTACCTCCTTCCTTCTGCCATGAGACTGGGCCACACACTATAGACAATTGGAAAAAATAAAAAATATAGGCAAAAAACTCACTCCTTGCATCAACGAGCAGAGGGGTGAACTTTACACTACAGTTTCTGCTTCAGAAAGCACTCTTAATCAGTGGATTAAATCATGTTAGAATTTACCTGAGATCATCCCTTTGCCCAGATCTTTCCATATTTTCCTTCACTTCCTCCTTTATAGGTTTTCCTGATGAGCACCTTTAATAAAACATACTCATCCTAATCCCTGTCTCAAGCTCTGTGTCACGTGAACCCTAAATAAGACAGTGTTTCCTTTATGCTTAACATAGATACTTGATATTCTGTATTTAATATATAATGAATCTACATTATATATCCACTTGTTTCCTTGTGTATTTGCGATTGTTACCCTTGAGCTGCTCATTTATCTTGACTCTTTGGAATTCTTTGGGAAGTAGATTAAAGTATGCTTTTTCCAAAGAGTATTTCTGTTTTCTCCTGCCAGCTGCCTAGGACCACTGATAAGAACACTTTCAATTCTTGCTTTCAGATTTTGTCGGACCACATGAATTACACGAACCTGAATCATTGACTGTCATGAGGGTCACGATATAGTGACAGATTATCAGAAGATGCTGCTTTCTTACTGGCCTCTGACATACACCTTTGGTTGTCAACATGATGCAAAGGTCTCCTATAAGCTTATTTACCTTGGACAGTTCCAGGCTTTTCCCGTGGCCCATATGGTCATCAACACTGAGGCTCAGTGTCTCCAAGGTTTAGCAGCGACTTTTCAGATGAACATGAGTCTTGCTTCTTTCCCAGGTTCCTGCTTTCATCTCACTTTGGAGGTCTGGAAATTTCTTACTTGTATGCCATCTCATTTGAAAAGGCTTAAAAAAAAATTTTTTTCTGGTATCTAATCCCCCACAATTTGCCAAAGTGTCAAGAAATGATTTATGACTGAAAACAAAAAATATTACATATCTCCTGTTTTCCTAAGTAAAATATATAGAAAATGAATTATAGTTTCTTAATAACTCATGCAAATTTATATAAATGTCAAATCTTTTATAGAGATGCTCTGGGGCTACTATATAGGGCTCTTTATGTAACACTAAATTATACTTATTTATGCTGTCTTAATTTAAAAAATCTGACTAAAGAAAGACTGAATACGAAGTCAGTAACTTCATTTCGAATTAAACTTTTTCTATAGCTATTTCTACTCAGTAACTTTCTACTTCCTCTTGAATTCAAAATGAAATAGGTTTATGTTCAATTATATAGTTTATTTCATATA